CCCCTCACACTCTGACTCGTTCGCACCAAGACTCAGGCGTACGCAGGTCCACTCAGAGACTGACTCGCTAGTACTCAGATCAACCCAGACCACGCCGCTTAGGCTCATACCAAGTTCCACCCAGGCTTACTCATGACCGACTCAAACTCAGCCACTCGTAGTCAGATTTGCCAACACTCATACGCATACTCATTTACATTCAGACGTTCAGACAGAGTTGGATCCCCGCTACCACTGAGTTTCACGACGTGTGGACCTCAGGGTAGCAGCGGGAGGAGAAGGGGATGCTAGAGGGGATGGGCGGGCGGGAATCCGCCGAATGCAACCTTGTCTCTAGCGCGAGCGGCGAGCGAGCATCGAGGAATGCGCTCGGCGAGGGCCGAGACCAACTTCATGCGTCCCTGTTCGCGTAACCCCCTGTCCCCCCCTCCCCCCCTCCGTGTAGACCTTGGCGGCGGGCGAGCGGAGGGTGCAGGAAAGCGGCCCGGAAGGATCCCCGAACTGCCACCCTGGCCCACAAGAAGTGCTGGGAATGCGTGCAAATCTTCTCCACCATGGTCGTTCCCCTCGTCGCCGCCCGCCCGCTGGCACGCCCGAGGCGAGAGCGGCCAAACGAGGACGGCAAATTGTGCCCCTCGTCACCGCCCGCCCACTGGCACGCCCGACATGAGAACGGCAAAGCGAGGACGGAAAAACGTTGCCCCGGACCGGCAGCAAGCGCCGTCGGGCAGGCGACACTTGTGCCACATGGACAACGTCCGCGGCGGCACTGACAGACTGTCTTTGACCCTCGTCCTAGACCAGAAGTCCAAAGCGGACAAAAACTGTTTTTGATCCTCGACCAGTCGTCCCAGACCAGACTGTCTTTGATCCTCGTCACTGACGTCCGAAGCGGGCAAAAACTGTTTTTGATCCTCGTCCCAGAGCAGATCCTTCCCCGTCCACCTGGGCCCCCGACGCCCCTCCCCTTCGCTGAGGGGCAAAACGACGGGGGGGACTGGGGCTCAGGGCAGGAGCACCGAGCTGGAATCGGCGATGCACCGCCGATGGATTGGCGGCGAGCCCCCCCAGGAGCGAATCCGAGAGGTCCTGGGCGGGGTGTACCATCAGGCCCCCATCAACGATCAATGCAGGGGAACAAAAAGTGACATGAATATAAAAACTCCGAGGTCCGCGCGGATTTCTCGGATCGGCGCTGGGGCCCCACGGCGGCGACTCCGGCGCCGCCCCCTGGCGCCCTCCGCGCGCCAGGGAGGGGGGTCCAGCGCCGATCCGAGAAATCCGCGCGGACCTCCGAGTTTTTATGTTTATGCCACTTTTTGTTCCCCTACAATGGCTGATTGGGGCTCTATGCATCTATGCATCACACCTGATCCCATCTTCGTCCCAGGTGGTTTCTGGGCCATGTTCCACTGGGATCCCGGGCGACCGAGATCGGGACAACACGGGCGCGACAACGCTCTCCGGCGGAGGCGCAGCTGCTGGAAGGCATATCCCGAGGCTGGAAAGCCTCGGAGAATCGACGACGGAGCCCGAGAGCATCAAACTTGGATCCCCCCTGATTGGAGGCCTGGAAATTGGCACCAACAACAACACAGGGGGGGTGCCTCCACAGGGGGAAGATGGTCCTCGATTTCGGTGTTGGTGGTACTATTTCGGCCACCTTGGAAGCCAGAATATTACCACCAACACCGAGATCAGGATCTTCTTCCCTCGGTGGAGGCACACCGCCGATCTTGGTGTTGGTGTCAACCTCCAGGCCTGCGACCTGAGCCCATCCCCCCGTAACTCTGGAGGTCGGAGAGGGGTGTGGCGTAAAAAGGGGTGTGATGCCAATCGTGGAACTGGCGCTGCTATCTGCGATGGATAGCCAAGCCAGATCCAGCACTGGCACCACACCCCCTTCCGCCACACCCCTTCTCCGACCCCCGGAGCAACGCTGCCCCCGACCCCGACACAAACGCCCTCGCCCGAACCCCTCTGGCGTCCTGGACGTGGACGCCCTTGCGGACCAGCTGCGACGGCCTGCGGCGCGAAGCGACGGCGTGCAGAGGTGGCATGCCCGAGAGGAGACGTATCGTCATCATCAGCATCATCGACATCGTCGTCCCCGTATTCCACCTCCTCCTACCCATCATCATCAGCATCATCAGCAGCAGCATCAACACCACCACAACCACCACCGTCATCATCATCATCAGCATCATCATCATCATCATCATCATCATCATCATCATCATCATCACCACCATCATCATCATCATCATCATCATAATCAACATCATCATCATCACCCTCAGCAGCATCATCAGCAGCAGCATCAGGCACCATCGGCATCATCATCACCATCATCATCATCATCATCATCATCATCATCATCATCATCATCATCATCATCATCCGCATCATCATCATCATCATCATCATCATCATCATCATCATCATCATCATCATCATCATCATCATTATCATCTTATCATCATCATCATCATCATCAACCGTGTCATCATCATCAGCGTCATTACCACCAGTATCATCAACAGCATCATCATCACCATCATCATCCTCGGCAACATCATCATCATCGCCATCGTTGCCGCCCGGCAACAGCATTATCGTCACAGTCACCAGCGTAGTAAGCATCAGTCTCAAGTACATGCTCATTATCATCAGCACCACCATCACCGTAAGGAGCATCATCATCGTCATCAGTATCAGCATCATCATCGTTCTCACCATCATCATCATCATCATCATCATCATCATCATCATCATCATCATAATCAGAATCAGCATGATCATTATCAGCATCAGCATCATCATCACCAGCATCAGCATCAGCAGCATCATCATCATCGGCATCATCGGCATCCTCATCACCCCCACTCCCACCACAACCGCCACCACCATCAGAATAGGAATAAGCATCATCAGCATCATCAGCATCATCATCAGCATCAGCTTCATCCTCATCATCCCCATACCCATCATCACTCTCATCCTCATCAGCACCATCATCACCATCAACAGCGGCATCATCCCCAGCAGCATCATCACTACCATCATCATCATCATCATCATCATCATCATCAGCATCATCATCATCATCATCATCATCTTCATCATCATCATCATCATCATCATCATCATCACCATCATCATCATCATCATCATCATCATCATCATCATCATCATCATCATCATCCTCATCATCATCATCATCATCATCGTCAGCATCATCATCAGCAGCATCATCATCATCTGCAGCAGCAGCATCAGCATCAGCATCGTCAGCATCGTCATCATCGTCATCATCGTCATCATCATCGTTATCACATCACCATCATCATCATAATCATCATCCGCATCGTCATCACCATCGTTATCATTGAGATCAGTCTGGACAGTCCTTTGGGAAGGCTTCATCCCAAAGACCATCGGTGACTCGAGTTGTCTGAGTCGCCAGCTTAGGGAACTCTCGACCCCTTTTCTAGGGCCGCCGTGTCATCCAATGCTATTAGTCTCACTCTCCTGGGCAAGGAAGCGGACACCAGAGGCAGAAATTTACCGAGAACACCCAGCACGACCTTCTTCGAGTCGGCAGGTGGTCTGGGCAGCGCGTTCATCACGGGTGGTATTGCTGAGAGGACGAATCCTTTTGAACGCTGTTCTGGCCAGTGTAAGGCGCAGTCCCCAATCACAATGCAACATGACGAGGCAAGCCTGGATAGACTGAGTTGTCCCCCAAAGTGAGCAGCTGAGGAAGCGTGAGCCCATGGCGGAAAGCAGAAGAGGACGAGGAAGGACAGGCAAAGTGGACAAAATATTGTGAGCGCCATCCTCGCCACCGTGAAAGTCTTGGTCTCCAGCTGCTGGGTCTCGAAATCGAACAGGTCGCTGGAGTCGCGCGTCCACGTGCGCGACACGACCTGCAGGCCGACTCCCAGGCGCGCGGTCAATCGACGGAACACTTGGGAAGGGAGGGCAGGTCAACGTTTTCTTGTTCGGCGTCTTGACATTGGGCGGAAGGGGGGGGGCGGGAGGGGAGGGGGGTCTGGCTCTGGACCGCTGCTTAGTGCGACTGCTTGCAACAGTGTGTCCATTCTGGGGGAGACTGCGCCTGCTTGAAACCGGCGCAAAAAACAGCCACGAGCCACTCCATGGGGGGGTGGGGAGGGGGGGATGCGAGGGCCCGCGCCGATCGACAATTCATATATAATATATATATATATATATATATATATATATGTATAAAGAAAAAATCACCAGACAGACGAGGTGAAGGCTCTGTTTCTGCACTGTCGCGAGACGCTTCGTCGGCCAGCAGCTGACCCCTGGCTCAGCCATGGCGCTACCGTTACTACCGATGCCGACGCGGCCCCCCCCTGGCTCAGCAAGGGCGCTACCGTCAGGTCGGGCGTGTCCTCCGACAGGCGGATTTGGGACGAAAAATTCGCCGGCCCAACGGGCCAGAGGCGTGCTAAGATCTCCGGTAACTGGTTCGCGCGCGCGGGGCGGCTCCTGGGGGTCTCCGGGCGAAACGTACCCTGGCAAGGTCCCGGCAGACCCGGGTCAGAGATGCCGGACCGGGCAATTTTTCGACACCCCTCACGAGGATCGTGGCCTCCGAGGAGGGAGCCGCAAACGACTACCCCCCCTCCCGCGCCAAGAGGCCCCCAAGAGCCCCCCAAGAGGCCCTGGGGTCCCCCAAGACGCCGCCAAGGAGCCCCAAGAGACTCCCAAGAGGTCCCCAAGAGGCCCTAAAGAGGGCTCCAGGGCCGGCGGAATAAGCGAAGCGATAAAATAAAACATAGTCAACAAACATTCAAACAAAAATTCGAAAATAGTCAAAACATCGTCCCCTACCAAGTGTTTCACTGCTTTAACTAATTCCTCCTGTAGAGGGACAGGCCCGACTTAACGCCACCGATGCCGACGCGGCTCCATTGCACCCAGCCCCGGAGGGAGGAGGAGAGGCTTTCTGAGAGGAGGAGGGGGCTGCCAGACCCTGCTTGTCACTTCGGCGATGGGTCTGCCACGTCGGCGCCGCGCTTGGTCACTTCGGACGAGGAGGTGACAAAGGAGAAGAAGGAGGGGGAGGAGGAGGAGGAGGAGGAGGAGGAGGAGGAGGAGGAGGAGGAGGAGGAGGAGGAGGAGGAGGGGGGGGGGAGGAGCGGGAGGAAACGGAGGTGGTGGAGGAAGAAGTGAAGGAGAAAGGACGCGGGAGGGGGAGGGAGGATAGTCCCTGCGCAGCACGATCTGCGTACCGACTCCCAACGTGCGCTCGCTGCCAAAAAGATGGGGAGGACAGGCGGGGACCTTGGAGGTTGTGTTGTATTATTCGGCGATTCCCCAGGTTATCCCGTGGGAGGGCGGGGGGGGCGGGCCAGCCGATGACCTAGTTAACCGTCTCGCTTCGGGCAGCCCCACGTGTGCCCGCACGCACCAAGACTGCGCAGCCTCTTCGGACCTGGGCGACCGACAATGTCAAATTATCCAGGGGGTGGGGTGGGGGCGGGTGGGCCCGATAACCCGAGCTATCGCCGAACCCTACAAGAGGAGCCTCCTGACCTCCTCGCCGTCGCCGTCCACGCTGGACTGTGTGCGCAACGACCCGCCCGCCCCCAAAAGCCGTGTTCCAGGCCCCGGGTCGGTCACCGAAGCGACTCGGGATGGACAGCCGGTCCCCAGGAGGGGGGGGGTCGGTCGAGAAACCCGGGGCCAGACGGCGCGAGGGCAGGGCTAAGCCTAAGCGGTGTTTGTCGATCTCGTGCTGTTTTCGCTTTCCCTCGTTTTTTGTCTTCAATCCGCCTTTACCGCAGAACGAGGTCGAAACGGAGACGGCCCACGACATCGCCAAAACACTGATTAGGTCCAGCCCTGCTCGAGAAAACCCCTGGGGGCATCCAAAAAACGATCGCCAGAAAACCCGCGTCTGGCCCCACCAGGGGGAGCGCACCCACACCCGCAGGCGGCGGCTGGCTGCCGCAGCTCCATTGCCGAGGAAGCTCCGCAGGGCGGCCTTCAGCTTGTCACGTCGCTTAACGGCGGCTGCGACCTGCTGCGCTTGCAAAGAGCTCGCGCAAGGCGTGCCACGCAGGTGTCTCCAGCAGGAGCCGGTCGCTCTCTTCACCCGAAAGGGAAATGCCGATGCCGCGAGTCCACGGCCCCCTCCCGGAGTCCGCTCTGACCAAAATCTCAAGGCGAATCCAGCCATGGCGACAAGGGAAGCGCAGCGTTAGGTCGGGCATGTCCCCCTACAGGCGGATTCGGGGCAAAACAAATGTCAAACCAAACTCAAAAAGAGACAAGAAAAAACAGTTGGAGAATCGTCCCCAGACTATTGCTTGACTGGCTTGGAATATTCCTCCTATGCCCGACTTGAGCGTAGCGGTATCGGCACCTTCTCCCCGGCTGAGCATTGGGCGTGTGAGACGAGGCCCCCCGGATGGGCGCCTCGCAGCCTGCCGCTGCGCAGGCGGCGCTGCCGCGTCGCGCCACTGCCCTGCGCTGGACGCCGCTCGTCGCGCAGCCTCCCGCAGAGGGGGGGCGGCCGCTGCGCCCGGCTGCGCCCCACGCCGTCCCCTCCGCTGCTCTGCGCCGCGGCTCTGCTCTGCGCCGCTGCTCTGCGCGCTGCGCTGCACCGAGGCGCCGGCCTCCCGCGGCGTCGCACCGCGGGTGGGCGGCCTCGCCGCGGCGCGGCGGGGCGCCGCCCTCCCACAGGCGCCCCGCCCTGCCGCGCGCAGGGCGGCCCGCGCGGGCGGGGCTGCCGCCGCGCCGCCACGGCGCTCGGGCTCGGCCGCACCCGTGTCCGAGGGGTCGCGGGCTCCGCGCTGGAGGAGGCAGTGCCCTCGGGCTCGGCGGCCAGCAGCACGCCATGCGGGGAGGAGGAAGGAGAGAAGGGGGGGAGTGGGAGGGAGGAAAGGGTGGAAGGGGGAGGGGGGAAAGCGGGAACGCGGAAGCGGGGAGAAGAGGGTGGAAGCTGGGTGGAGGGGGGGGAGGGGGGGAGTGAAGGGGCGAGGGGCGTGGGGTGGGTGGGTGGTGTGGTAGGGGGCGGAATCGCAGGCAGGGGCGGACGGGCCAGGGGGCAGGACGAGAAGGTGGGGGGGGCGACGGGGGCCGGGCGGCACGTCGCAGGGGGTCCTGGCTCTCTCGTTCGCTGCCCCAACCAATACTGCAGATTCCACGGCCTGGGAGACCGGCGTCCGCGGACCCGAGCACGCGGTGGATTTGGATATGGATCTAGATGTATGTCCGCCACCGTGCCGCTGGCCAAGTTGCTCTGAGGCTCTGTGCTCACTCCTGAGGAGCCTTGACAGGGGCCTCGCACCCGAATTCCGAAACTTCCTGGGGCCTGTCGCGTGCCCTCTGGGCCCCGACGCAGCTTGTCGCATGACGATTTCGGGCCCCACAGGGCCCACAGATGGGCCCAGAGGGCCCCAAAAAGGCTCCCAAGACGGCCCAAGATGGCCTCGAATCGCCGCACGATCGGTCCAAGACGCCAAAGACGGTCCAAAGACGGCCCAAGCGGCATCCAAGACGCTCACAGAGGCCTTCAAAAGGCCCCCCGAGAGGGCCCCAAGAGGCACCAATCATTGATGTGCCTTAGGTGTTTGAAGGATTTAGGCGTTCTCGCATTTTCGTCTTCCCAAGGCTCCACGACGGCCCACGAAGCCCCACGACGGGCCAAGAGGGCCCGAAGAGGGCCCAAGAGGTCCCCAAGACGGCCGAAGAAGGCCCAAAGACGGCACCCCAAGGGGGCCCAGATGGACAACCTGAACGGACATTTCAAGCCCTCGGCCCCGAGGGGACCCCAGGAGGTCCCAAGAGGCTTACGAGAGGCCCCCAAGACAACCCCAAAAGGCAACCGAGAGGCCCCCAAGAGGCTCACAAGGGCCCCCCCCAAAACTGCCCCCAAGAAGCCCACGAAAACGCCCCGATGATACCGAGGAAACATCCTTGATAACTCTGACACACAAGCCATGCACAGTGGCGGGATGGGCCGAAGTCCATTCGATATATCTATATATATATATATATATATGTGTGTGTGTGTGTTTCTGTCTGTCGTTCTGTCTGTCCGTCTGTCTGTCTGTCGGTCTGTCTGTCGGCGATGTATGTATGTATGCATGCATGCATGCATGCATGTATATGGGTATATAAATACATATATAAATAGGTATGCATGCATGCATGCATGCATGCATGTTTGTACACATATATATAAATAGATGTGTGTGTGTGTACGCCTGCACGTGTGTACGTATGTACGTATGTAAGTATGTGTGTATGTACGTGTGTACGCATGTGCGTATGTACGTGCACGTGTGTATGTATGCATGTGCGTGTGCATGTATGTATGTATGCATGTATGCGTGTATGTATATATGTATGTGTATGTATGTATGTATGTCTGTATGAATGTATGTATGTATGTATGCATGTATGTGTATGTATGTTGATATGGAAGTAGGTAAGTAAGTAAAAACGTATGTGCATGTATGTATGCATACATGAATGTTTGTATGTATGTAAATATGTATGTGCGTGGTTGTGTATGTATGTACGTCTATGTGTGCATGCGTGCATGCATGTATGCATGTATGTGTGTATGTATGTACGTATGCATGTGTAAATATACGTGTGTGTGGATGCATGTGTGTATGTATGGATTGATGGATGGATGTGTGCGTATTTTGTATATGTGTGTCTGTATGTATCTCGGTACGTACAAACGTATGTATGTATGGATGTCTGTATGTATACATGTATAGTTGTGTAAACATGTGTATACAAATACAGGTGTATAAACATGTTAGTAGGGAGTTTATGAATATGTGCATACATATGTGTTTTATATAATGTCTGTGTCCATGCCCACCGCCTGCCAAAATCTCCGAATGTCAATCCCCCAGGCCATGTTTGTGGATAAAGCTCCTCCTCCTCCTCCTCCCTTCTCCCTCTTCCTCCATACCTTCCACTCCGGGCGGCCTGAACGCAGTGCCCGCGCAAAACGCCATCGTGCACCACCGCCATCGCGGGGGGCGCGGCCCGGCCAAGGTGCCCCGCCATCGGCGCCCCTGGCCACGCTGGGGGGCGGGCAGGGGCAAGGATGAAAGCAAGAGCGACGGAGCAGGGGGGAAGGGGGGGATAAAAGCAGCGAGGAGGAGCGATGAGGAGTGAGAAGCAGGGGGAGGAGTGGGCTGGCAGAAGGAGGATGGAAGCTCGATGGAGGAGGAGGAGGAGGAGGGGGGGGAATGAAGAGGGGGGGACGCGGAGGAGGATGCAGGAGGGGCGACTGGGAGGACCAAGGGGTGAGGGGACGGAGGAGAGAGGAGCAGGGAGTAAAAGGGAAGCGAAGGGACAAAGGGTGGGAAGGAGGAGGAGGAAGAGGAGGAGGAGGAGGCTAAGGGCAAAGGTTGGTCGCGTCGGAGGCGAGTCCGAGCGACTTTCTTGGATCCGCGCTGGACCCCGCGGAGCGCGCCAGGGAAGCACCGGCACGGATCCAAGGAGCGCGGAGCGCCAAAAGTTTATGTTTATGCCGCTCCTTCCTTTTCGATCATGGCCTTCCGTATCCCCCGGGTGTGTACGGATCGCACACACCCCGGGGCGAAGTTGCCCCCTTCTCAGGCTGAGTACTGCCTTGCCGCAGCCGTCGTGCCCGTCGTCGTCGTCGTCGCTTTGAGACTGTCGCACGGGGAGGGGGTGCACGTTCCCCTCGGCGGCGCCCGCGACCACCCGGCGCGCGTACTGAAACCAACTGCTTCGCGCCCCGCCGGGTCTGCCCATCAGCCTCGGGGGGGTCATCCTTGATTTTCCGCAGGCTGACATTACGGACAGGAGTGGGGGAGGAGGGGGAGGAGGGGGAGGAGGAAAAAGAGGAGGAGGGAGTAAGAGGAGGGAGAAGGAGGAGGAGGAGGAAGAGGAAAAAGAGGGGGAGGAGGAGGAAGAGGAGAAAAAAGAGGAGGAGATGGAGCCCCCCCCCCGCTCCTGCGTCCGCCGGGCTGCCAGCCGCTGCCCGCCCAGCCCCCCCCCCGCGCGCGGCGCCGTGGGCGGCGCGCCGCTGCGGCGGGGCTGACACGCAGGCGGAGGCCGCGACCCCCTCGCTGCTTCGTCCCTGCCATTCACATATGTCCCCCGTCTTCCATCCCGCGCCTCATCCTCCACGCGTTCCTGCTTCTCCTCCTCCTCCTCCAGCACCAAATCCTCAGCCTCATCCGTATCATCCTCATCCTGATCCAGACCCCGATCCCGCTGCTCCTCCTCCTCCGCCTCCTCCTCCTCCAACTCCAACTCCAACTCCAACTCCTCCTCCTCCTCCTCCTCCTCCGCCGCCTCCTCCTCCTCCTCCTTTCGCTCTCCTCCTGAGATACCTCTCCCGGCTCCTCCTGCTCCTGCTCCTTGTTGTCCCCCTCTGCCTTGGCCCGAGGCGCAGGGAAGAGAAGGAGGACGACCATCAGTCGACCTGGTTCCTGTCGGTCGATCGTGCTGCCGATCGGCAGGAAGACATGAGACGCCGCCGCGGCGTCGGCGGTGGGCCTCCTGCTTGTCCCTCTGGGCCTTGTCCCTGATCCTCGCGGCGCGTTCGGCAGCCTGGAGCGCGGAAAAGCGCGCGGTCGCCCCGTCGCCGCTCTCGCCGTCCGCCTCGCCCGCCGACGCCATCGCCATTGGTCGTCCTCGTCTCGATCGCCGCCGCCGCCGCCGTCGCCGCATCCGCCGCTGCCGCCGAGCGGCCGTCCTCGCCGTCGCCTCACCCGCCTCCGTTGTCGCCGTTGTCGTCGCCGTGCCCATCGCCGACGTCGTCGCCGTCGCCAGTGCCGTCGCCTCCCCCGCCGACGCCGTCACCACTGTCGTCGCCGTCTCCATCGCCGCCACCGCCGCCGTCGCCTTCGCTCCGCCCACGCCGCCGCCGCCGCCGCCGAGGTCGCCGCCGCCGTCGGCGTCGCCGCCGCCGTCGGCGTCGAGGCGAAGGTGAGGCGGCCGATGCTTGGAGAGAAGCTTACACCCAAGCGAACGAGGGGCGCAAGGGAGGGGGGTGCAGGGGAGAAAGAGGAGAGAGGGGAGAAGCAAGGGCAAGGCCGAAAGGAGACGAGGAGGGGCAGCATCGGCTGCGCCGGAGCGTTGACGAGCCGAGACGGATGCGGAGCGGGATGCGGCCGTGGGGGGGGGAGTGGACATGCGGCCATGCGGACAGGCGGCCCGCGTCAGGGCGCCGCGGGGACGCTACAGGGGGCGCTGGGGCACCGCGAAGGGATGACGGGGTGAAGCAACGAAGAGGCAGCGAGGATCGAAGGGCGACGGGGAGGATGATGAGGTGGGCCAGCCATAGCCCAATGCAGCTTCTCACAGCAGCACCGTGGAAAACGATCTGCTACCAGGGACCTCAAGACAAGAGAACGAGGACGGTAAACGGCGCCCGCGCACCGTACCATGTTAAGCTCCCTTGAGGCCCTGTTCTAACGCGGTACGGTGCCCAGTTCGTCAGCCCCGAGAGCTGAAACATTTACGCACCGTACCTTCCCTGGATCGGGGATGCACGACGCCTCGAGGGACACAAGCGCGGTACTGTGCAGGCAAATCACCCGCGGATTTGAAATAATAGAAGCCTCCCAAGTGGAGCCAGAGTAGACGGGATCGGAGGATCGCGGCGCATCGCCGATGCATCACCGAACCGACGCATCGGCGATGCATCGGCACCGTCGGCGTGGAGAAAACCAGGCCATGGATGGTGAGAACGAGAGGGCCCTCGGAGGGGAGCATCGGTCGGTGCGCTTTTTGGTCGCAGCAGCGGGAATCCTCACCGCGCTCGAAGTTCGAAGGCAGACTTGGGACGCACCCGAATTGCGCAGAGGACCGACCAAAAGAGGGCCTGTGCAAGGGCGTAGGCTCTCGAAATGTGCCGCAAGAGGCGCGGAGGGTAGCGCCCGCCTGCCGGGGGACGCTCGGTGAAACTCCCCGACCTCGCGGGGCTGCCTCTGGAAACGGGCGCCCCGGGGCCCAACCTTTGCTTCGTAACACTTTCGAGTCAGCGGTTTCGGAGCGGACCCGTCGCGGTAAAGCTTGCACCGGGCTGCAATTGCACACGAGTTGGCCTTTGTTTCATGATACAACAGCCACAACAACAGACACCGCCACGATCGCCACCACAACCATAACCACAACCACGGCCACTGGCGACGAGACAGCGAAACTGGGGAGTCGATGTGCAGCCCCATCGCATGACCGGCCCAAGGGACCAAGCTTGGAAGCACTGGCCACCACCAGTTTTTTCGTGACGCTCCAGGCCTGGGCCTCTGGAAGCCCCTCTGCATGCCCCCGCAAGGGGTCCCCGGAGGCCTCCCAGCGTCACGAGGAGGCCTCCCTGGGCGCAGAGGGACGCCTCTGAGCGTGTGCAACACACCCTGGGGCCCTGCAGCATCTCCACCCCTGACGGCTCTGCGACGAGGGGAGGTCTGGCGCCCTCCCTCCTCCGAGAGCAAGAGCGCCCAGGACCCGCGCCGGCGGCACCGCGCGACCCTGCGCAGTGCCGGCGCAGCGCCGCCGCAAGCCGCCTCCCGAGGCCCTCGGAGCTCGGCTCCCGGGGCGCACGCCGTGGACAGCTCATCGGCCTCGAGGCCGCCTCCCTCTGCGGCCCGGCCCAGCGCGGCGCCTCGCGCAGGGGTCCCTGGCACCGCGCGGGCCCCGCAGCCTCGAGCGGTGGCGGCTTCCCGACAGCGCGGATCGCTCGATGGCGGCCGCCTCTGGGCCACTGGCGGAGTTCCCACTGGAGCGTCCGTGCTGGGTGGTCACCGCCGCGTCGGCACGACACGAGCGAACCCGGACATACCACGATATGGCATTACATTCGGCCGTGACGCCTAATTAGCTAGAACCTAAGCGCGCGCGAAGCGCGCGCGTGGTTCTAGTGTGTATATATATATATGTATAAATGTATACATGTATGTATGTATGTATGTATGTATGTATCTATCTATCTATATATATATCTATCTATCTATCTATCTATGTATGTATGTATGTATGTATGTATGTATGTATGTATGTATGTATGTATGTATGTGTGTGTGTATGTATGTATGTATGTATGTATGTATGTATGTATGTATGTATGTATGTGTGTCTGTATGTATGTATGTATGTATGTATGTATGTATGTGTGTATGTATGTATGTATGTATGTATGTATGTATGTATGTATGCATGTATGTATGTATGTATGTATGTATGTATATATATATCTATATATCTATCTATCTATCTATATATGTATGTATGTATGTATGTATGTATGTATGTATGTATGTGTGTATGTATGTATGTGTGTATGTATGTATGTATATGTATGTATGTATATGTATGTATGTATGTATGTATGTATGTATGTATGTATTATGTATGTATGTATGTATGTATGTATGTATGTATGTGTGTGTGTGTGTATGTATGTATGTATGTATGTATGTATGTATGTATGTATGTATGTATGTATGTATGTATGTATGTATGTATACATATATATGTATGTGTGTATGTATAGGCCCCAGCGGCACGAACATATCCATATCCACCGCCTGTGGAGGTCCGCGAAGATCGACCCCCCTGGCGGTGGTTAGTCGCATACCACTCCCAGGGGGTGCTTTCCGTCGCAGATCTAGTGTTCTCTGTCCCGGGCCCACAAGCGACCCCTGGGAGCCGAAATCGAGGAAAGATGGTCCCGCACTGAAAAAACTCGCTCGTCGGAGCTCTGGACTCGCTCACGGGACCTTGCCGAAAGCTGCCACGCTGGGACCTCCTCCTGGCATTGCGGCGTTGCCCACATCGGGGAAGGTTGGCTTCGCCAGGTCGCTGGCCAAAGTAGCCGTTAGTGGAGTCCTCGGTAAGAAAGGGGCCCTGGGACACACAAATAAATACACACACACACATAACCGCATTCCCCATATTTTCCTATATTGTCTGTTTGTTGTCTTCCCCCCCCACTTCCCATATTCTCCCATATGTTCTGGGAACCGACGATTAATTATGTCTGCGTGTTTTCCCCCTCCTGAGGTAAGAGGGGCGCCGAGTGCCGACGGCCGGGGCGCGGCCTGGGCGCGGCCGGGCCACCGCCTCAGCGGACCTCACTGCGCGGCGGAGAGCCCACAGCGGGCGCCGCCGCGGACCGCTCGCAGAGAGCGGGCCCCGGCGGGGGGCGGGCGGGGTCTCCGCCGGGCTCCGCGCATCCCCAGGGGCTCCTTCAGAGTCACAAGCATTATGTCGGGCCTGTCCCCCTTCAGGGGGATATTCGACGAAAAATTAATACCCAAAAAATACATAAAAAAAATAAAAAAAAAATACTCAAAACAATCCCCGGACTATCTCTGTATTTTCTTTGGACTATTTGGGGGGTATCTGATATTTTTCCTCGAAAATGCCCCTGTAGGGGGACAGGCCCGACTTAACACAAGCACACAGCGCTGAGATGCGAGGCGGCCAACAAAGATGCAACATCTCAAACAAAAAAAAGACCCCAAAGCCCTGCACCCCATTTCCCCTCCATGTTTCGAGCCAGATCGATCTGTGAGGGTCGCTGGGACCGAACCTGGGTTAAAACACCCGCTGGGAATCAGTTGGTTTCGAGCGATCCCCACCGAAACCTTCGGCGTGTGATCCCGAAGGTGCGCGCGCGAATTGGACCGATAGGCGCGGCGCGTGGTGGTCTCGGCCAGTGCGGCGTTCGGGCCATGCCGCAAGTTGTGCGGTGAGGTGCGGTGGTATGAGCTGCTCAGTGTGTCCAATCATGTCATAGCTTATGGTGTTGCGATATGGTTGGTGTTGCTTTGGTATAGCATAGTATGCCGCGCTCTGCCATGATATGAGTTGACATGGTGTATAATGATGTGTGTTCTGTGTTGTTGTGGTATGGTGTGGCTTGTTATGGCATGGTATATGATGTGATGCTACGGCATGCCATGATATGTTGGAACATGGTATAGCATGGTATGTTCGCTCTGATCTGGCACAACATGAGTGGTTATGGTGTGTTGTGCTATGATGTGCCATGTGAAATTATGTGATAGTGTCTCATGTTACGTATTGGTATGCTCAGCTTTGTTATGGTCGGCTTGATCTGCTGCGCTGTCATGGCGTGTCATGTTACGATATGGTATGCCCTTATGTGGTATGCTATGCTCGAAAATGCTCTGTTCGGCGGTGTGGTTTCATGCTCTGTGTTGCGGGGGGACCTGGAAGTTTGGCGGCCGCGGTATGCAGAGTGGGCGAGTCGGCGCCGGGGGCGGGACCCTCAGGGATTATCGGGGGACCTGGGGGTCTGGCGGCCGCAATTTGCAAAGTGGGCGAGTCGGCGCGGGGGGGGGGACTACCAGAGACTAGCGGGAGCGGATCTGGCGGCCGCGGTATGCAGAGCAGGGGGGGGACGGGACCACCAGTGATTTTCGGGAGCGTGGGGATCTGGCGACCGCGGTATGCAGGGCAGGGGGGGGGGGGCGGCCGGGCGGGACCACCAAGGATTCTCGGGAGCCTGGGGATCTGGCAGCGGCGGCATGCAGGGCGGGCGGACCGGGAAGTCTGTCCTCAGACCTGACGGCCCCAGCCTGTCGGGTGGGGAAAAAAAGCCACGCCAGGACCTCCAGGGATTCTGCTGGATTCTGCTGGCCTGACCTGCGGGACCTCCAGGGAAGGGCGGCACCGAGGCCCGCGCGAGCGCGACGCACTCCGGAAGGCGGCAGGGCCCTCCCCGCCCTCCCCTGGCAGAGCCCGGGCGCACCGCCCCCGCGCGAGCAGGACCAGGAAGAGCGCGCCGGGGGCGGCGTGGGAGGCGCTGCCCAGGGGTGCGCGGGGAGCCGGACCCCCCGGCGGTTTTTGTTCACGGCGTGGACCCTCAGAAGTCCCGACCCGAGACGAGTCTCTTCCCGAGTCGTCATGTGATTTTGGTCCCGAGGCCCGGGAAGGGCCCCCGGAGGCCGAGAGACACCTCCCGGCCTGGACGGATGGGCACGGTCCAAAACGCCTGCGGGCGACGCGCCAATGTCCCAGGCAACGAAGCAGAAAGACCAGAAGGCCTCCGTGAAGATCGCCCGCTTCCCAACTGATGGGGAAGGGACTCCACGGCGCAGCAGCGGAACCGGGAGGAAAGGGGGGGGCGGCAGTGAGGAGGAGGCGAGGGCGGAGGCGGAAGGCGGAGGGGGAGGAGGGAGGGAGGAGGAGGAGGAGGAGGAGGAGGTAGGAGGAGTAGGAGGAAGGAGGAGAGGAGGGAGGAGGAGGAGGGGGAGGGGGAGGGGGGGGGGACGAAGACGGGGGGGCGTGTGCCCTCGGCCCGCCGTCGTGATTTCTTCATGACCCGAGGGGGTCCTGGGCCCAGGGATGTGCGAGGAGAGGGGGGACCCGGCGCCCAACTGGGAGAGCCGCGGGCGACCAGCCGAGCGCTTTGCGTGGACCCGTGCACACCAGAGAGAGGAAAGGGGAGGAGGAGGAGGAGAGGAGGAGGTAGGAGAGGGAAGAGGAGGTGAGGGAGGAGGAGAGAGGAGGAGGAGGAGGAGAGGAGGAGAGGAGAGGAGGAGATGGAGGAGGCGGATGAGGAGGGAAGGTGGGAAGGGGGGGGGGGGACCCGTCCCAAAACGAACCGACGGGGGGGGACGTGTGCCCTCGGCCCGCCGTCGTGATTTCTTCATGACCCGAGGGGGTCCTGGGCCCAGGGATGTGCGAGGAGAGGGGGGACCCGGCGCCCAACTGGGAGAGCCGCGGGCGACCAGCCGAGCGCTTTGCGTGGACCCGTGCACACCAGGGGCGAGGCGAGGAGGAGGAGGAGAAGGAGGAGGAGGAGCAGGGGAGGAGGAGAGGAGAGGAAGGAGGGAGGGATAGGAGGAGAGGAGGAGGAAGAGGAGGAGGAGGGAGGGGAGGAGGAGGAGGGGGGGGCGAGGAGGAGGTGGAGAGGAAGGAGGAGGAGGAGAGGAGGAGAGGAGGAGGAGAGGGGTGAGTACCGGGAAGTCCCTGCAGGTCGACCACAAGAAGCCTTCCACAAGAAGAAACCCAACCCTGAGACTAAGAGAAGAGAAAACTGCATAAGCATAAAGTGTTGGCGCTTCGCGCGGATTTCTTGCATCTGCGCTGGACCCCCTCCCTGGCGCGCGGAGCGTGCCAGGGGCGGCGCCGGAGGCGCCGCCAGGGGGGCCCAGCGCGGATCCAAGAAATCCTTGCGGAGCGCCAAAAGCTTCTGATATATCTATATATATATATACATACATACATACATACATACATACATACATACATACATGCATACATACATACATATATACATACATACATACCTACATACCTACATACCTACATACCTACATACCTACATACCTACATACCTACATACTACATACATGCATACATGCATACATGCATACATGCCTACAGCGTGCAGCCTACATGCGTACATACAGACATGCATACATGCATACATGCATACATGCATACATGCATACATGCATAACATGCATACATACATACATGC